GTTTACTTGTTTTTTGTCCAACTTTTGATACCTTCTAAACTACTGTATATTGATAATGGGGGCCACTTAGCTTCCCATGCGAACGCTTTGCCAACATTTTGTTAAAGCGCACAGTAGATTGTCTAGTAACGTCAAACAGAGATACATGAAGCCTGCATAAAAATGAAGGGAAATCGCCAATCGTAAATCGTTAATATAAATAAAATATTTACTATTGATAGAAAAGAGTGTCACTTCGTCGAATTCAAATAAATATATTGAGTCATTTGCCGTCGGTCACCATACGTGCATCAACAATTTTTTTCTCATAAAACACACGAAAAATTTTCAATCATAAATATCAGGCACAAAATGTTGAAATATTGAAAAAGGAATATCGGTAAAATAAATTTCGATCAACACAATGCCAATGTTACCCACAATTCAGGAGGAGGACAGTCAAACATGGTTTCAGCAAATATGGCATTGTCGCATTCAATTACAGCTGACAGTGCCGGCATCGTTAATTCTCTTTGCCGGTGGTCTAAAATTGGCATGGACCGTATACGAATCACCGCCAAATCGTTTTGATTACGACTATGATAGTTGTCTGTTAATAGTGGCGTTATTTTTTGGCGCTATCGTGGGATGTATAGCCGCTTCAATGTTCGTTGGACGTGTATCGAAAAATATTGCACATGTAAGTAACTTGATTTTTTATACCCTACCCTGAGGTAGGGCATTCAAAAGGAGAATAAATTCTTAAATGTAACGACAAGGGTTCGTCACCGAAAATTTATATTGAAGTGACCCAGAGTGAAAAAATGTAGTTTTTTTTTAATTCAGAATACTTCGCTTTATTTAGAAACGTAAGCTGATACACAAATTCCATATACTTAAATTCTTAAAGTTTGCAACATCTAGCTCTGTTCTGCTACTGCCCGTTACGGCTGTTGGTATCACAAATAACTAAAGACGAAGAAATTGCTGGTTGTATCGATCCGGATTAGGCATTCGGTCCCTGCTGCTGCTTTCGGGTATAAACAATTTTCTATAAAGGCCCTCTTAGGCGGCTCTTTATTTCTGTTATATGCTCTTTATTTCGGTTTGTTTAAAATCTCTTTTCTTTGGATGAAGGCCCACGATCTCGGTTTATTTAAATCATTTGGCTTTGAATAAAGGTCCACGACGGTTGTTTATTTCGGCTTGCTTAAAATCACTTTTCCTTGTACAAAGGCCCACGACGACTCATTTTTTCGGTTAGGTTAATCACTAATCATAATAAATCTCTTCACTATTTCACACCCATCTTTCTCTTTCTTTCTCCGTTGCTGATCTCTCCTATCCTCGGGAACGTCTTGTTAGCTTGGCCGCTCTTCTATGAATGATCAGGAGCCCTGCTTGTCTCTCCATTTTCTACACTCGATTAAGAATTCTAGGATGCATCCAGTCGACTTCCCGACGTCGAACCTTTGCAGTCGCGCTGATCAAGTGTCCTCTCTCAAGGATAACGGGTACATTTTTAACATCTTCATTAGTCTATTATGTTCAAGTCACCAATATTGAGAATCCTAAATTCTATATTACAGCCAATTCTGTTGAAAACAGTCAATTCTGTTATATATCGTGGATCGATATATTCCATTATCAATACCAAACATTCTAATAGTAGTAGCAATATACACATGTGCGCAAAATTAATAATTTTTTACTATGGAGGTTCTCTATACTTGGGTCTATATTAATTTTCAGTATAGAAGTTTGCTATACAAATACCAAATTAATACAAAATACCAAATTAATGTCAATTCCGATAAAAAAAACATGTGAAAAAAATCAGCATTATGGGCCCATATTTTGACATACATTTCATATAATTATTCGGTTTGTGGCTTATAGCCGCATTTTCCAAACCTAAAAGGCTCTAATTTGGCATTCCAAGTTGTTACATTCTTAGCTGGCTCGTGACATATCATATATCGAGCTTAGAAAAGATTTCCAGGCGCGTCAGTCTTTTGCGCAGCTCTTCCAATTTGAAAAACCATATTCCGAGATGTTGTCTTCCACTTGATCTTTCCATCGAATTCGTGGCCTTTTCCTCCTACGTGACTCGGTTGGCTCGCCTTTATATGCCTTTTGAGCTGGGGCATCGTCATCCTAGTCGTAGTCGCTGCAGCTCGATACGTCTGACTATGTCGATGTCCAACAATAGATGGTCTTGGTTTATTCGACGGCCATATTCAACGTCGATGCAGGTCGGTCCAGAGATCGTTTGGAGATTTTTTCTCTCAAACACTTCAAGAGTTGACCCATCTGCATGCGCATTTACCCTTGTTTCAGATCAATACAACAGCACGGGTGGTATCGCGTCTTGGCGAGTGTAAGTAGCTTACTTAGACCATAGTAGCATCTATTGGCCAACACTATCCTTCTCCGAATTTCAAAACTCTTGTCATGAAATTTATTTATGACGGTACCAAGGTATATAATATCCTTAACTACTTCGAAGCTGTAGTTTCCAAGTTCCACTGTTGGTCCGAGTCTACTGGACCAGACCCACTTTAGCAGACTCGTTCTCAATTTGTTCAAAGGTGGCTGTTACCGCTCGCAGTGTTCGATCAATTATGTCGATGTCATCGGTGTTAGTCGAGTAACATGTTTTGTTTGGTGTACAGAGTGTCATTTCTGTTCACCTTTGCCTCTCGTATGGCCTTTTCCAGCAGGATGATAAAGAGATCACACGACAAACTATAACCTTGTCTGTACTACCGTTCGGTATCAAAGGTCTCCGATAGGTATTTTTCTACATTAACTGCTGATTTTGTGCCAGTTAAAGATATCCTGCATAGCCGTATTAATTTTGCAGGAATCCCGAACGCAGAAATGGCTTTAAAACACCTCTGAACGGATAGGGCTGTAGAATGCGGTTTCATTCATGCAAATAATGTCGATTTGTTTTTGGTGGGTCTTTTCTAGGATTTGACGCAGAGTAAATAATCTGGTCAATGGTGGATTTGTCAGTCCTAAAGCCGCATTCGTATGGTCCAATAAAATGTCATTGACCATTGGCACATATCGTTTTGTCTCCTTTTTTTGTGTATGATCTCCTTTTTTTGTGCTTATGTTCCAATTATTGGACATGCATTCATCTAGCCAAGTTGTACTAAACAATTGGTGCATGCTCCTTACCAGCATCTGACCACCGGTCTTGAATAGTTCGGCTGGTAATTTATCGGAATAGGCTGCTTTATTATTCTTTAGCCTATTAATAGTAATTAATAGCTTTTAGTACCGGTGACAAAGTAAATAGTAATTCGCTACTATTTTACAATAAACATTCCAGTAGGAAATACACTCAAAATGTTAAATTTACAAAATGTCATTCACATGTACGTAGCATCGTACTTTACATTTTAAAACATCAATCATCCATCCATCAAATACGTAATTTAATTTTATTTAGTGTTTATCTCCTACTGACTCTCTACTACTAATTAATTACATTTTCATTTCATTACCCAGCTGACTAGTGGTTCTCTACTCATTGTCGGTGGAATACTATTCGTTATATTACCCAACTCGTTCATTGCCCTGATTTTCAGTTGTATATTTGAGGGTGCGGCATTGGGCTTAACACAAGTGCAGACATTCGTCGTTGGCCCCGAAATGTGCAGCAAGGAAATGCGCGGTTTTGTCATGTCCACGGAACGATGCTCTCTCTGGTTCGGCATTCTAATGCAACTGACATTCACATATATGTGGTATGCACTCGAACCACCAACGGGCTATCGTAATATACAGCCCGATCAAATTCACGGCATTGCGGTTGCATGTTTGGGTTTAGCCGCCATCGTTGCGGCATTTAGACTACGCATCGAATCGCCACTGCTGCTAATGCAACAGCAGCGTGAACCTGCAGCGAACAATGTCCTGAAACAACTCATCGGCAGCCAATTGACCAGCACGGAAGTGATGCGCGTGCGTGAGGACTGCGTCCAATTAATGGCAATTGATGCTGACCAGAGTGGCTGGTATGTCTTTCGAAAGTGCAACGCCGGTCCATTATTCAAATTGTTTATTTTACGCGGTTTTGTTACGCTGACAATGTCACAGCCATTCAATCGCGTCTATTTGTCCGCCAGTTGGTTAGGCTTCAATTGTGACACCAATTGTTTGTACACGATGGCGGCCACGGGAGCATGTGGCAGTTTTTTGGGTTGCCTGTTAATCGATAGATACGGTCGGCGCAAAATGTGCGTGGCAACAATGCTGCCGGCCACAATATTTATGCTCATTACTGGTGGCATCATGGAATATTTGGCAAATACTAACTCAGCCATTGTTCAACTAGATTTGGAAATTATTGCCCTGCTAATGCTGCTGTTCCAATTTTTCATTTGCGTGGGGGTCTCCGTGGCGGCCAGTGTCTATCTATCGGAGGCATTTACCGTCAGGCTGAAGGGTAAGTGCGTGGCAGCGGTATTGATTGGCGAGCATACACTCCAGTTGGCACTGGCTTTGGTATCGGCCTCGGCGACCATTAATGCGATGCTGTTCTTCTTCATCATGGGATTTCTATGCATGCTACTGGGATTGTGTGTATTCTTTTTGATGCCCGAAACAAAGTGTTTGACTCTATACGAATGTTTGCAAAAGTTCAAAAGAGCTTAGTTCGATTATGCCTCGGCCTGCAACATAACATACGACGAGACGAACACATAAGAAAGGATAACCTAGCATAGGCGTTGAATAAACCTTAATTAGGAAAATTTGCATTGATGTCGAGTGGATGGATTGAAGGATGGGCTGCCCTCCCCCAAAAACATTGATTGTATAATGGATGGCTTTTTATGAAAATCAACAACAAAACAAATGTACATCTGTATGTATGTATCGGATGCGATTAGCATCTACTGGAAAAGAAGAATTTATTAAAATAAAAAATAGAAACTACAATGAAAAAAGAATTTTGATTATAATCTACATATTTAATTAAATAAATATTTATTTGTATGAATTAATTCATAATAAAATATAGAATTTTGATTGCAACATACATAAATGCATACAATGCTAACGAACATATTTAATATTAGTACAGTAGATATCGGATATAAGAAACTCAAAAAAACCGGAGTTTTCTATCTTATATGCATTTTTTTCTTATATGGAATTATCGGATATAAGAAAGTTGTTTCTTATAAGCGTACATACGCATATAAGAAATATTTCTTATATGATTTCATATATCAGATGTGCTTATATCCACTATCTACTGTAACAAACAATTTTTTAAAGATTCATAATCAAGGCGTCATTATTAAAGGATTATCCATTTCTCACAAGTATACAGCTCAATCATGAATAGCAATTCCCGTAGTAGCGGTGAAATCCATCCATCCATGAAGAAACGCATCTGATTTGGGCGCACTATTTAAATGTAGCATTAGGAAATTGAGCAAGTTTTGCAATTATTAAAACAGATTGAAGCAAATCAAAGCCACATTCACAAGGATTCTACAGATCATTAGACATATTAGTAGAACTTCATAAAATACGATACCAAGACATGGAGAAATTAAATATAAAGGAATGCGTTAAGAGTGGTCGAATATAAATTAGGTAAAACAAACTTCCAATTTGAAAAATCAATGAGTAATTTTGAGACGATCGAGCATCTTCGATGTCGCTGTTCTGTTTTGGCCTGCCAACGGTATAAGATTAGTGGGTGTTCACTTTTCGCATGTCTTAAAGTAGCTGGGACAGCGCATCTGAACACGTATACCGTTTTATCTGCTTCTTTTCTTTCCTTTTCATCTACAGCCACTTCCATTTATTTTTACCCTCTACGACCCCAATGTAGGTACCGGAAGATCTCCGAGTGACGCAGACACAGTTAGTACCTGTGCATCCCAAATCTAACATAAATTTCCTATTTTAGTATTTTCAGAAAAAAGAAGAAAGAACAAGAACAAGTGAAAAAGCGTTAAGTTCGGCCAGGCCGAATTTTGGATACCCTCCACCATAGATATACTGACAGGTACTTGAAATGAAGATATAGGGAAAATACAAAAAGTGGACCTATATCGAAATTTCTACAAACCGATTATGTAAACCATAATGTAAAATATAAAACAAATTTCAGAAATTTTTAATGGTTAATATACCATCAGCTTTATGGCTAAGGAGGGTGTATACACTTCGACACAGTTAAATGGTTCTAGACCCCATGTTTCTTTGGACCAAATTTGTTTCAGAAAATATTATTTCTTCCAAACTTGGTTCAAGTTCGAAGATGGGGAATATCGGTTCACTTCTTCTGGTACCTCCCACACAGGAGCTAGGCCTAAATGCGGGTTATAGTTCATATAGCGTTCATTATCGAACCTTACGTTCTATTTTTTGATGTCGATATCCTCCGCAGGAGAAATGATTACAACAGAGCGTTAGAACCAAACCCAAAACGCGGAACAAATCAGATAACTATTTTAATATACAGCCTTATTCTGGATATTTGCTAGGGAGGTATCTCGCATATAAAAAATTTTCGCTTTCACATTCTCGCCTTATTCTGAATGAATAGGGAGATGCAAAAAATGCGAGATGCGGATTCGAGTTTTCGAAAATGGTGGTTGAAACAAAGATTCGTGTTGCCATATCGTAAATTAAGTTGCAATGTGTGTTGCCCCATTGTAATTTAATTGTGTAACATTTTTCAATATATTATTTATTGATTTTTGTTATTAAAAATTGTTACTTTTTACTGTTATTTAAACTATATAGCAATACAAATGTGAAATATCAAGAATCCGCTGTATAAATGCTTTGTAATTAAAAGAAAATAAATTAAAGTTTGAAAATATGGCAACCTACAATATGGCATGTGAAACAGCTGTTCATTGTTTTGATGCAATTTGGTGCAACAACTACAATAGATTACAAATAAAAGAACATTTTTTTATGATGGCAAAAACACAACGATTTAATTAATTAATTCACAGTTTATTATTTCACTACATAATTGTGTGCCTTTTTATTTAATTCTGATATTTTATCTCCCCAAATTCTTAAAGTGGCCTGTTATGTTATGATTTGCTTTTGAAAAAAAATTTTTTTTTGTTCTTTCATAATTTTTTTTAAGTTTTTCACTGTTAAGCGGCTCATAAAGCAAATTTGGGTTTTCCATAATTTTTAAAATTTTTTTCTTGAGAGACAGATCCTCACCCAAAATGTCTGTATTTCGCCTCCAAAAATCAAACTCGACTTAAATATTCCTTATTGCCTTCATACATTTCTTGGCAATACTTGGTTCAGCATGCATCGTTATCAATAGGATTTCCAATGGCATTTTATTGGTTGTTTTCCAGTTAAAAATTTGCTTATTATCATTTATAATATTCTAAATCGTCATAGAATAAGTATTGTGTAAATATTTTTCATAAAAATAGTTATTACGTATGTTTTTGTAGTCAACTCCCTTTAAATTTATTAGCGAAAAATTTCGCACAAAATTTCCTACTCCCTGTAATTCAGAATACCTAATTTATCCCCAAAGCGGATTTTTTCGCTTTCGAACTTCATTCAGAATAATGCCATGTACAGACGAGCGTTGATCGCTCTCTCATTCGTTGTTCGACCCTTAATTATGAAGTAATTACTTAGTTCCCCATACAAAATTGTCTGAGCGAACACCGACTTTTGTACGTTGTTCAATTCGAATCACTCTCTGAATCACCAAGAAATTTGTCTCATCCCTAACAACTGAGAGCATTTATCGAAAATAAATTAATTTTGACAGCTTGAAAATATTTATAAATTTTTCAAACTTTTTTAGTAATATTGAAAATGATGAATGAAAAGTAAAAAATTGTCTAGTTTTTATATATGCAGCAGGATGTAAATTTTGTTATCTACATAATGCAATGTGAATTTCTTTCCCCATGGTTCTAATTAGCGTACAAAACAAGAAACAAATTTGGGGACACTCAAACAAAAAATTCTCCAAATTTTTATATGTGACATTTGAATTTAGAAAATATAAAAATGTATGAAAACAACAATATTTTCAGAAAAAATGGAAAACATGAATTAAAAGTAAATAGATATGGGTTCATACTATAGTCAGGAGAAAGAGAATTAATATTTCTATTTAGATCCATATGCGATTCATGTAAATATGTTAGAATTTTGGCGTAAAACTAGAAACAAAAAGTTTGAAATAAAAAACTCTGATAACATGAATTAAGAATAGTGTTGTATGAACGGGTTAATTCATGTACGTAATTCTGAGAGCGAACTACGTTGTTCGATTGCCCGTCAGAACATGGCATAAGGCGAAAGCGAGAATGCGAAAAAATTCACAGGGAAATGTTGTTCAGAATAAGGCGAAGGGAAAGAGCGAGTAAATTCACATGGAATTGACATCCAGAATAAGGCTGATAAAAAAGGGGACTACCCCAAAAAGGGGGCGAATATTAATAATTTTTGGTGGGGAGCAAGGTATATTTAATAAGGTAGCCGCATCGGGCCAGCTGTTGGACAAATAAATGTCAAAAATGTTCTTGTAATGTTGAACCTAAAAATTAAAAAACAAAATTATAAATGAAAATCTCCGAATTTCTAATAGCTTTTTTGGCAATACTTTTATTAACAGTTTCTACAAGAATTTGTGTAAAAAAATCTTGCCAATCTGTTTGTTTTGGCAAAATATTTTTGACATATCAAAATACAACAACCGATGTTTGTTGTAGAAATTCGCCGATGCGGCTACCTTGTATATCTACCTTGGTGGGGAGATTTCTTACCACATACGACTACAAAATACCAAATTGCAGCGAATTTGGTGGAAACCCCCAAAATACTGAAAATTAGGAGGTACCGTTATATGGGGGCTACCAGAAAAAGTGAACCTATATTTATAATTTTTTGTGGAGACATTTAGTACCCAATAAGAACTCAATGTAAAAAAATTCAGCGTATTCGGTTGAAAAACGCGCTCAAGAACCCCAAAATACCGAAAATTGGGAGGTACTGTTATATGGGAGCTATGCCTAAACGTGGACCGATATATCCCATCTTTGAACTTGACCTGCCTGCAGACAAAAGACAAACGTGTGCAAAATTTCAGCACCCTATCTCAATTCCTTCAGAAGATAGCGTGATTACAACAGACGGACGGACGGACGGACATGACTAGATCGTCTTAGAATTTTACCCTGATCAAGAATATATATACTTTACAGGGTCGGAAATGAATATTTCGATGAGTTACAAACGGAATGACAAAATTAATATACCCTCCATACTATGGTGGAGGGTATGAAAACGGGGTCGGCAGCAAATCGAGTCAGAACGAAGTTCGGGAATTTTAACAACGTGTAAAACACCAAACCGAAGGCTTTGGTACAGGCTCATCCTCCTGTAGAGATGAAGGTGGAAATCTGCTGACAAATTCAGATAGCGTGTTAAGAGACTGGGAGGAGCATTTTTCAAAGCTTCTGATATCAAATAGTGCCGGCGAAGAAAACAATCACCCCTATTCCGTATGTCGTCATCGTTGTCGACGACGTTTGTCTTTCGACATCACTTCGCATCGACATCACTTCGACAATGATTAGGTAACCTGCGTGAAGTTAGCGATATCGCTAACTTTCGATAACAAAATTTTTATCGAAATTACAGGGTGACACAGAACATCAGAATTTCACGTTTAAAACTATTTTTATCAACAGTGCTTTCCAACAGAGATAGCGCAGAATATTATAAATTAATATTTTTTTTTAAATTATTACTAAAAATGTTAACATAATTCATTAGTAATGAAAACTAATAAAAAATACGAAGATTTTGAAACATATTTTATTATAATCTAAACCTAAAGTATTACTAAGTCACAAACATTTTAATCCAGTGAATCAGGAGAGATGTCCGCCTCTGGAAGCCTCCCTATATAAACCTCGAACATAGTGATGGTACCAAATGAGAGAGGGAGTCTCTACGAGTATTTTGGTATGCACCATTTGTTCAA